AGGAAGACTATAGTCGATAATGATAGGGTACATTAATAAAGAATAATGAGCTTACCAGCAGGTTAAGATTTGAAATCCAAATATCAGCTACGGCAGGAGCAAAGCTTTTTAGAAGATAGTCTCTCGCTGAAAGAAGATAAGACCCTGATAGTTTATTCAAGGTGGGCGTGGTTTATTATGAGAATTTTTTTGTAATACGAAAAAGAAAAGAACATGTAACTTGGTCATAATTTTGTATAAGGTACGATGAGAAAGATAAGATGTGCTCAAAACTTGTCCGCTTCTTTGTTTTTTATAAAGGAAAAAAAGGTTAACCGCAAACTTTCAATGCGTTATAAAAAAAAAAAAATGTTTTCGTCTTATTCAAATGCTTGCTTTTCATTTCCAAATATGTTAATTGAATTCTTAATTTGGCCTAATATTATTTACCTGATGTATTTGATTGTATTCGATGATGAAAGCCAATAGGCCTCATGTGATATTGATTTTGTTTTTTTTTACTTCGGTGATAATCGCACAACTTATAAAAAAATGTAGGGACTTTGTCCCAAGCAGAATAGAATGAAAAGGTATTTCATTTATAATCTTTTTTTTATTCAGTTCGTGTATATTTATATTACTTTATTTATTTTGTTTGTACTTATAATTACTATTATTTTTTATTTTCAGGCTTCATTTTCGCAATGTCAGATATTATCCCGGCTAAAAATCACGTGGGGTGAAATAAGTGTTTTCGAAACTGGGGAAGATATTGTTTCTAGAGTATTACATATTGTATTACCACTTCTCTTACGGAATGCATTTTTTTAAAATAATGTTTATGCCATCTTTATGGTCTATTCCAACACTGTAAGCATATTTACAGAGACGTTTTGTAATCTTATTCAATTTCTCGTGGTTAGTGTTTCTTTTCTTAAATTGTAGGACTACATTTTATAATGATGTGATGTAATTCTGTTGTTGATAATCAAATTAGCTCATTGTAAGTACTAATGTTGACACATTAGTTTACGACTAATGCTTCTCTTATTTCGGAAACTTCAACACCGAAGGTATATTTGCTATTTTATTTCCTTTTTTTTGTATTTTATTCAAGTATAAAACTTAAAATGACTGTTTAACTGAAGATACTGAGTTCGTTCTTTGGTACACCGAAGATAAAGAGAAGAATTAGGAGTTTGGCCTATAGCAAATAACCTGGTTTCCAGTCTATTCAGCTTTATTTTCCTGTGAAGAAATTGTCAAAGCGGTAATGATGGACCAGTGGTCTTTGAAGCTTTGCTTTAAAGTTCATTATACCGAGTTATTTTGGGATTAAAAAGATACATTTTATATTGCTTGCTCTGTTTTTTTGTTTCTCGGTATTAGGGGATTTCCTTCCTTATTTATGCTTGTAACCATTACGTCAAGGATGTTGCCTTTACACCTCTACGGGATGTCCGGGAGAAACAATTATAGATTAATACATAGCTGGCTAAGTGCAAGCATCGTGATCTTAAATAATAAAGAAAATTTATAAATAATTATGTAATTATTTAATAAACCACGTTATGACTCTCTCTCTTCGCTAATAATATAAAACGAGTTACAGTTAATAATTCGATTTATTTTTTATTTTGTAATCCAAATTTAATAAATATCTTATTTGAATTATTTTTGCTAACCATTTTCACAATTAGATAGCGATAGATTGTGTATAGCTGATGCGTACTCTAGTAATATAGTCATGAACTCTCAAGAAAGTTTGTCCCATTTTCTTCCACAGAATCCATTCTATGCCGATAAGTGGTTTACGTTTGTCATTAAAAACTAGAATTAAATGAATAATAAGAAAAAATCGAAAATGAGAAAATGTAATTGAATGCAATTTAACCCCAATTTTGGCATTCGAACTTTTAATTTCCAGGGATTTGGGAGAATTTATGATGATGTTCAAACAATTTTAAGAATATTATATATTATTATATATTGAGTCGGTCAAATAAAGATAGGTGTAAATTTGGGAAAGTATCCTCCCATTAAAGTATTATCACGTTATTGGTGCAGTCGTAGTGTAATATTTGTCCAAAGACTTTGTGTATTCACATCTGGTATATTACAATTTCGAAATTTACAAACTTCTGTAAAATCTACTTCATCTATCAATATTTCCCATTAAATTCGTACCATAGAACGGAAGAAAAATCTTTTCATAAAAAGGGAAGAAAAAATACACCTTCGATGTTGAAGCTTCCGGTCCGTGACCCAAGCCATAATTAATTATAGGAAAGGACTCTTAACACTATTTTGGAACAAACAGGATTTTATTGTGCCAATGGAATGTCATCAAATCCAAGAAGAAGAAGTAAATTTTTTTTCAAGTAAAAAGGGGTGATTTAAAGCCGTTATGACGCAACATCACATGATATCTTTCGGTACAATCCTATTGGCTAAATCTATCATAACGATGACAATATTAAAACTATAGACCTGTTCAATTCTAGGTCTGAATATTGACCTCAAAGATTTGCTGAAACGATCAGGGATCGATTTAATCATTCACCTCTGATCGATTTCATAATTCCGTAGAATGTAGACGTAATAGACGGTTAACTTTTCCATGCCTATATCCAAGATCCACTTTTCGAATTTTTGTGCACTATTCTGATATTTTAGCTGTAGGGACATTTATTCCCCACAATTTATGGAATTATGAAGCGAAAATTTAATCAATGAATTTTTTAATTAATGTTTTTGTTATTGTGCAAGAGTAACAACTTTTTAATTTTTTGTAAATTTAAAATAGCTTGATGAAAGCTTGCTTTTTTGCTTGACAATGCGGACAAAAACAAAAAATGAAAACTCTTATTGTTTTATGATTTAGTGGAAATGTTTAGGATGCAACGTCATTTGCTTTGCCACAAAAAATATTAACGTTAACGTAAGGAGAGGTTTCTTAAGCAAAGTATATTTTCAAGCAACGATAAATAAAACGATTTTTTTTTTCTTATAAAGCTTTTTCTTTACCTGTGGCAAGGGGTCTTACGGGTTGGAATGCTTTTATTCGTCTGCTGCTTGAATGTTGTAAGAGTTTATTATTCGTGTGAGTATTCTGAAGTTTGGATCTTTCATTTTTTCATAAAAATTGTTTTTGAGAATTTTTTTATCCTGGTAATTCTTTTTTAATTTTTGTTTTGTAAAAGGACTCGCTGTGTTACCTAATTCCAAAATTATTAAATAAATAACAAAAAGATTAATATTGTGATGGTCAATGTTGGAATTGGACCTTGTTCAATTCCTAATAATGGGCTATTGGACTTTGGACCTAATGGAGATGTCCAGTCCAATTCCAATTCAAATGGACTCTGATTATATAATTTTGGCCAAATTATAATTTTATATATTATAATTCTGGCTAAATTTATAATGCTAGCCTAACTTAAAAATTTTGGACAATAATAAAATCGTTCAACTAGAACGATTAATTTAAAAAATTCTAATAAATATCAATAAAATGATTTACATAATAATTGCTAAAATTAAATATAAATTTATGGCTGTTGGACGAAGTCTATAGTCCAAAGTCCAAATTTAATGGAATTGGAATGGACTAAGTCCAGTAGTCCAATAGTCCAATGGTCCAAAAGTCCATTAGTCCAAAAGGTCAACACTGGTGATGGTCCTTCGGCGCTAGTATTATAAGCTCTTGTCAATAAAATAAATACATGGAAAAAATATGAATAATAAAATTCAAAATAAGAAATAATTAATTGAATAAAATTTGTCCGCTTCGAATGTCAACTTGTCCAAGAATTTTCATTTAGAAGATCCGAATTAAAGAATCATTTCCAACACTTTCATACCAGACGCGCAAAACGAAATGATATCTATTACTCGAAGGCAAAAGCAATATCTCAAATTTTTCTTCAGTTGTAACCTTTATTTTTTTTTTTAAGAAAAATCAATAATATGACCAAATGAAGCAATAAATAAAATATTTTTTTTTTTAGTAATCTTTGCTCTGATTTAAACATATCAAAAAGAATTGATTTATACACTATTTAAAGTATAAACTGTTTAACTTTTAGCTAGCGTTACACGATTAGTACGCAATAATAGCGTGAATGCATTTGTTCAACCTTATTTTAATGTATTAGAATCACCTGCGCTTAAAGTATAGTATCATAAAATGTAAATGTTTTTTTTATGAATAATATTTGCTTGGCATAACATTTAAATTTCTTTTTTTGGTGATTGTCCGCGCGTTATAAATAAACTCGATTGATAAATTTTTAAATCAATTCCAACGCCTAATCCAATATTTTCTCAAATTGTCAATTTGGGATATCGAAAATGTCCACTTCAAACGTTTGAATGGTAGATATTTACCAATATTTCTAGAAGGTATTTAATTTCCTAATTAATGTGTTCATTAGTGCATTTAAAATTGGTCCTTAAAGACGGGGTTCGATGTGGACATTAAGGATATCTCAAGGGACAATTTCATGTTTGGAACAAAAGCACATCCCAAACGAAATTCGTGTTTGGGTATCAATTCGGACCTTAACGCATACAAACTATTTAAAGCTTATTTATGATTCATACATAAATATAACAACATTTATCACTTACAATGACATTACTAATTACGTAAGAAATGGTTGAATTATCTATCTTTTGTAAATTACAATTCTAATTGATAGTAAATTGATAGTACGATACAGAAAATAAGTGAACAATTAGTATCATAATTAATCAAATATCCGAATTTAATTATGCAAATAAATATAGTTGTCTTTCGTAACACTTTCAGATCCGAGAAACATATTCAACATTTATTGTAGAATTCAAATATAAAACAAAATACCACCTTTTTATTATATATATTATATTTTATTTAAAAATCTTTACTTAAGAGATTAAAACTGCCTTTACTATTAATAACTTTTCTAAACATACGATGTTCGTTTAAAATTAAGAAATAAAAAGCAATAAATAAATAAATAAAAAGTGTTCTAATCTTATTCATAATTCTTTACTACAATTAAATGATTAAAATTTAAATTAATAAGCTTTTTAATTATACAATCAAAAAATTTAAATAGACTCCTTACCATCTAATTCATCATTATTAATTTGGATAGAATCGCCAACTTGTGAATTAGGATCTGAATTATTAGCGTTAATATGTTCTGTAATTATGTCTATATTTATAGATTGAAAATAATTTAATAAAAATAATATAAATTATAAAATAAAAAAAAAGTATATTACAAGTATTTACTTTTGGCTACTTCATCTTCATCATCAATCTTTCTTCCAAATCCCATCTTCAAAAAAATTTTCAATACTTCTTTAATAATTGGTCTTTCCTCAGGTATATGTTTCCAACAATTTTTATAAAGTTTTTCGTAATCCTCGGGCGTGTCCGCAATAATAGTCTCACGAGTTTGACAAGTAATAGCAATAATAAGGTCTTGATTATTATCAAACTTATCTTTAAATGAAGGATGTCCACTAGAAATTTCCCACATCAAAACACCAAAACTATAACATCTGAAGGCCTAACATATTGAAAATTTTTATCGGCAAGTATTTGTGGTTCCATATAGGCGAAGTCACCAAGAAGTCCAATATGAATTGTGGAATTATTTTCAATTTTTGAAATTCCAAAATCTGTAATTTTGGCATTATCTTCATGAATTACTATATTCTTAGAGTGCTAAATTAGAGTAAATCATTAATAATTTGCATAGCATTTACCAAATAAAATAATTAAATGCAATATTTACAAGATCTCTGTGTAAAACATCCTCGTTATGAAAATAATTTAAATCTGCAATTTGAAAAGCTAATTTTTTTTTATCTTTCCAAGTTAACGTTTCGAAATTATTCTCAAGATAACTTTGAAGATTACCACCATTTGCATATTCCATTACAGAATAAAGTTCATTTGTGCTTGGATCTACAAACAAATTTTAATTAGTAATTACAAATAATTAAACTTATTAAATTACCTTGACTAATACCCAAGAACGTATAATACGATTACTATAATTAAGGTGCAAATGTATTTTTAACTCATGAATAAATGCGCTTAATATATCTTCATTACATTTCAATATACTTGTATTAGTTAATTTTTTACAAACAGTATAATCATTTGTTTTTGACCAAGTTGCTTTTATGATGATTCCAAAACCGCCTTCATAAGTGGTTTTAAATCAATTAACTCATCAAAATGTATGACTTTAATTTTATTATTTAACTTGTTATTGACCAATTCAAAAAAATTTCTGTTAACTTCATTTTATTAAATTAATAAATTAGTATAAAATCATAAACTTATAAAAAGTTTAATTATTAATGCTTTAAACATACTTTTAATCGGTTTATTTATAAAGCTCATCTTTGAGTATTCTTCTAATATTTCTGTTATAGTTGATTTTTGCTCAGGTTCATTTTTTATAAAGTATTTCATAATCCTTAGAAGTATCTGGTATAGTTTTTTCACGAGTTTTATTACTAATAATAGCACAAATTGTTGCACCATTAAGATCTCTAAACGGAGGATATCCAATAGAAATTTCCCACATTAATACACTATAACTATAAATATCTGAAGGCTTAATATACTGAAAATTATGATTACAAAGTATTTGTGGTTCTATATAAGCAAATTTACCATAAAGACCAATATGTGTAGTAGAATTATTTCCAATTTTTGAAATACCAAAATCAGAAATTTTAGCATTATTGTTGTGAATAAGTATATTCTTGGAATGCTAAATTAGATTATATAATTTAAAATAAAATTATTTATTAATTTATTTATTTTAATATAATAAAAAAAACAATTTACTAAATCTTTATACAAAACCTCTTCATTATGTAAGTAATTTAACCCAATGGCAATTTGAATTGCTAACTTTTTCTTATCATACTAAGTTAAATTATTAAAATTATTTTTAAGATAATTTTGAAGATCGCTAACATTAGCATATTGCATTACAAGATTTGGATCTATAATTAAAAAAATTAATAAGCATTATTTTTTAAAAATAAATAAATAAAATAATTAATATTTACCTTGACTAATGCTTAAACAATATATAATTTGATTATAATAATTAAGATATAAATGAATTTTTAATTCATAATAAATGCATCTTGTTTGAAAGCATTTGTATTTATCAATCTTTAAATACAATTAAATTACCAGTTTTAACCAAGTTGCTTTTATAATACTTCTAAAACCTTCTTTATCAAGTAACTCTAAATTAGTAAACTTATTAAAAAATATAAATTTAACTTGATTATTTAAAGTTTTATTAATAAATTCAATTGCATTAATATTTTAATTAATATTTTGACCATTAGCTTTATATCTTCCAAAACTCCTTTCAAATTGATTTTCATTTTTTACTAATCTTTGATGCCATTTATATGCTTTTTCTTAATCTTTATTAATTTCTATTCCATGTATATAACATTTAATTAAATTATATTGAGCAGCTTTATTTTTATTTTCTGCTGATTTATGATACCAATAAAATACCATTTTTAAATCTTCTTTAATTCCAATATTTTTTTCATAAAAATATCCTAATTTATATTATGCAATATCATGCTTAAATATGACAAAAAAATTGTCCAAACGAATAACAGTCGATTAGCAATGAATTCACTATGAAAAGAATTACTACGCTGCGGTCACGTACTGCGGAGATCGACATGATAATAACACGACGACTTGCAACAGGATCGAACGTTGTTTTGCAACGTGATCGATTTCAACAAAATATCGCGATCGGACTGAACTTCATCTTATAATGTTGGTTTTTTCGAAAGTTCATAATACAATAAAAGTCTTTTAAAGCACCGCTTCTTTCCTAAGATCATGGTTACAGCAATAATTTGGGAAGATATTAAACAATAAAAACATACAAAATGCCTTGTATTCAGAAAACTCAAGGAAAATTATCTGCAACAACGAAAAAGCTTCTTTATTATTTGAACATCATACCAAAATCACATGACAACGTAAATTACAATCGTAACTCGAATATTCCAATTAATTGAAAAAGGACATTTTATAAACCATTTTTATCTGCCTTACACAAATATTAACATGTTACAATTACGTCAGAACAGAGGGATTTATTATGAGCTTTAAGTGCAACTAGCCATAATAAGTCATTTTTTCCCAATACTTTATGTTCAATAATTTTTATTTTCTTTTTCATTATAGGTATTTCAGTTACAATTAGTAATGATAAAGAAAATAAGTAAAATTTTTATATGATCGTATCTTGACATAAAAAGATTTATTATGTTTAAAAATAACACTCTCTAAACTAGGGATGCTAATGGTCACGGGTCATGACCGGTCATGACCGGTCATATCCGTGACCGATATCGGACGGTCAAAGGCCTTTGACCGACCGTTGACCGACCACGGACCGACCGTTACCATCCCTAGCTTTGTCGTAGTAATTGATTATCCTCATGTTTCAGACAATTAAAATAAAAGGAACATGAAGGATATCTGCATGTACTGTACATAAGAAATTTATTTTAAATGATTTTTAACTTTCTTTTATTTATTTTCTTTACTTCTCTATTATAATAAAAAATTAACGTTTCCTTTTCTCTATATTTATAAAAATTTTAAGTAATTTTATTTTAAATTCGTCTCTCAGCTTCAAAATTGAATAATTATACAGGTAATCATTAAGTAGGAGTTCCTTTTCTATTTTCTTTCTACTATTTAAAAGAATTAAAAAATAAAGTGAATGTTTTTAAAAAAAAATAGATGAAAATGAAATTGATGCGGTCATAAAAATAAATAGAAATAAATAAAACTAAAAAATTAAATAAAAAAAAAAAAATTGAAAAAAAAGAAAGAAAAAGAAAAACATACATTAAGCAGCAGTCCGAATGTGATCAAAAATCCTAAAAAAAAAAAAGAAAAGAAAAATAATCCTTAAAAAAAAAAAAAAAAAAAAAATTGGAATTTAATACTACAAAATTTAATAAATAAATGCCGAGCGTAATTAGATTATAATTCAGCTAAAAGCTAAAAGTCTGAAATATAAAGTGTAAAGTTACGAAATTGTAAAAAAAAAAAAAAAAAATTGGCATATTGTTATGAGTTGCCTGAAGTTGGAATCTCAATTTCAGACAACTCGAAGATCATTCGACTAAAATCGATTCTTTTTGAAAAATTTTTATTTATGGTCAATACTTGAATCATAAGATAGTCAATTAGTTAAATTTTCAAGTATCAAAATTCTATAAAAGTCATTTTATTTATTAATCACGATTTTGAGGTTCGCATTTTTTTTTAAAGTTGTTAATAAACTTAACAGTAATGATGATGAAACACAGCTCATAACGATCCGCGTCGAATGATAGCAAAATCATACTATTTATGATTTGATGCACGAACTTCGTTTCATCATCCTACAGATTCCAAGTTACTAATTTTAAGTCACTATTTTAAATGATTAAAAAAGTTTAAATATGAATTATATAATTAATGCATGCAATTTCTTTTACCTTTTTTGTAGTTTTGTAAATATTATAATTCATGATAAGTAATGCTTTTACAAATCCTAATCACATAGTAAATTATATTGGTTAAAGTGAGGTCAGGATTAAAATAGAGGTTTAAAGTTGGACATTAAATTAGAATTAGAGTTAAATTAGAATTGGGAGTTAGAATTCGAAGAATTTTTCGTAGATTTTGAAAGTTTCATTTGGGAAGTTTGCTATTAAAATCGAGTTACGAACATAGTAGGTCATATAATCCGTAACGTGATTTTAATAGCTTATCTCCCATTTCTCAATTTTTTTGAGTTATGGACGGTTTTGTTTTTTGTTTTTATAAGGATATTATCGACGATCAAATAACCGAGTAATTTTTCCAAAAGAAAAAAAAATTGATAAAAAAGAATAAATAAATAAAGTAAATACAATGGAATAGAATCCACAAAACCAAGTATATCTGGTGAGATCAACCTCAAAATAAATAGAAAGAGAAGTTAATTTCCATTTAGCTGATCTCTATCATGTGCATCTTTTTGGATTTTCCTAAGATTTAATTAATACGAGGAATAAGAATAAAAGGATAAGATATAACCAAACATTTAAAAAAATCAGGTGATTCGATTTCATATAAATAACCTTTTTGTAGAAAGAAAGATAGCATTTTTCAAAAAAAAAAAAAAAAAAAAAAAAAAAAAAAAATGGGACTTATCAGCACAATCTTCTCTTCAATAGGAATATATGATTTAATGTTAATTTTTTTAACATTATGCATCATATACACAAGTTACTTTTATTTTAGTTATTTCACACGTGAGAATCCATTACCTGGTCCAGTCCCTTTACCCATCATTGGTAATATCCTGGATAAAGGTTTCGATGATTTCGTTGATTATACGGAACGTATGAGAAAAAAGTACGGTGACATGTTCGAAATTTATTTCGGACAAAACAGGTACATCATGTTGAGTAAATTCGAATACATGCAAAATATGTTTGACTATTCATTAAATTCAAAATACCTGAGGCGTATTCCATACTTTCCCGGTTTGGAAGAATTAAATATTGCGGGAAAAGGGATCGCGTTAAATCATAATGTAAATGTTTGGAAATATAATCGACACTTCATTTCACGAGCGTTACTTACTCCTAGTTTCTCAAAATCTGCCGTCATTTGGACCCAAAATCTAGTTGAGGAAATGATGAGCTTTTGGGAAGATGGATCTAATAATGATGGTTCTTTTGAAACCGACATCGTAGAATGGTGTCATAGATTCACGACGGACTCTATAACTCATTTCACAACCGGGAAGAGAATTCATGCAATCGAAGCACATTACAATGAATTGTTGGAATCACAAAATAGGAAACCAAAAGTACCTTCCAAGAATGATTTGCGTGACGCCTCGAGATTTTTTAAGAGCATTAAAACTTTCATGGTTGGAATTTATTTCTTCATAATCGTCCCACCTTTGGTTCGAAAATATTTGCCAATCTTGAGCAATGCATCAAAATATCATTTAAAGAATCGTGACTGGTTGTATGACTTCGTTGATAAGATTATTAAACAGAGAAGGAAGGAGATTGAACATACCCCTCGAAACGAGCCACTTCGATTTGACATGTTGACCTCCATGATAACCGCTAATACGGATCGTGATATTTGTGAAATTAAAATGGTCGATGAGGAACACACACAACCCATGAACGACGAAATAATCCGTGGCATTTTATGGGAAGCAATGGTCGGTGGAATTGATACGGTACGTTTTTAATAATACAAATTAAAAAATTTTATACGTGTATAAAAACTAATTAAATTAATTAATTAATTATCTGTTCATATATTTTAATATAGACTGCCAACATGTTTAGTTTTATCGTTTATCACTTGGCATATCATCCCGATGTATTAAAGCGACTTCGAGTTGAGCTGGACGCATTCTTTGAAAAAATGGGCGATCGGCGGCTCGATCTTGAAAGTTTATCGGATTTAATTTACACCGAAGCAATCATCAAAGAAGCATTTAGAATTTTCACACCTGCACCATACACCGCACGAAATAGCACCGCTGAAGATATCGTGGCAGGCCGTGTATGGCCCGAGGGAACACAATATATCATAAATATTCATGGGATAAATCACAACGAGGATTATTGGGATGAACCTGAAAAATTTAATCCCGACAGATATCTTGATATGAAAATATCATCCCCACATATAATATTTGGAGGAGGTCGTAGAGTATGTCCCGGCAGGAAGTTGTCATTCATTGAACTCAAGGTCATGATTGCCTTAATTTACCATAAATTAGACATTGAGTTATCGAACATGAAAAATCCTTGCAAATTAAAATTCATACTTATTAGAAGTTTTCACGATTTAAATGTCCAAATTAAACCTAGAAAATTTTAAAGAAATCCAATTTAATATAATACAGCATAATCATTTTTAAGGGTGATGAGCGCATTTCTAAATTAGGTAAATCCGTACAGAAACTTGGTTTTCTTAATACGCAGTAATTGCATAGTAAGGAAACAAAGTTTCTGTAAAGCAAATATGCGGGGCCAGAGAAGACTGCGGGTACAGTTATTAGATAGTTTTATTAATTATTTAATAGAGATTGGAGACCGGCATAATAATAAATTTCGACTAAATTTATTTATTTGGCGGTACGTTCTCTTAATCTGGTATTAATCTGCCATTGCTCTTGTGCATCATTTATTTTTATTTTTATAAATAATCCTCAATTCCATTAAAACAAATCCTAGAAATCATAATAAAGCAAATATTTCAAATTTATAAGCATTTTCAAACATCAATTAAAATTATACAATTAAAATCGGAAGACATTGAAGAAATATAAAGATTCTTTCGGAATGTACGATAAATGAAGTGGCGGATGTTTTGACATTTAGCCTATTATATAGAAATTACAAAGAGCAAAATGTTGATTAAACCATTTAGTTTGAATTTTAATAAATGTGTAAGGTAAGAAATTCTGACGCAACCAAGAAATTATTTACATCATAACCATTTCATTAAAGAAAGAATTCAACCATAAATTGTAGTTTGTTAGAAATCACTCGATATCTTTTTTTTTTTTTTTTTAAAAAAAAAAAAGAAAGTAAATTTATACTATCTTGTTACGGTTAATATGAGCTCAAAAATCATCGGACCATTTTCATCTCTAGAATATGTTGATTGAACGATAATAATAAATAATTAGTGTCAGGTATCAATTTTAACGTTGAAATTTCAAGATAGTTATTGCGCACCGGGTAGCGTTAGATTTCCATTTTTTGTTGCACAATTTGATTAATCATATCATCATCGTTTCAAAGTGAAAATTCTCCCATTTTTCTGCAAATAAAAAAAAATCAAATATCACCAAATATCGAGAATTTGATGTATTAAAAACTCTATGGGCACGAGAAAATTTTTCTAAATAATTAAAAAATGTAATTAAACTGGCCCATCTGATTTATTTGTCCAATAAAAATTAATTAATTTAATTTATTTTAAAAAAAAGAATATACAATGTCAATAATGTCCATTCTATTATAATAATTAATTAAGACATTGTAATTGGACTTTTGTAGTTATTGAACGGGGCTATATCGGTCTTCGACCGATATTTTAACGCTCCGTTCAATAACATACAAATAACAAATAAAAAAATAATTATATTAAATAAAAATATAAGATTAATAATTATATTTTAAAATTTAAATTATTGAATTAACCTCTGATTGAAGGACAATTCATATAGGGTTTTACCTGGAAACCAATAGTTCAATATTAAATTCTTAACCATTAACTTTCCTCATGTCCTCATATCTAATTGAAGTAAATTTGCAAACCTTTGTTCGACAGACCAAATTAAGTTACGGTTAAGCTGCCACAAATGTAAGATGCGGAACAGGATAAATATTTGTATCGGGATCGATGTTTCGTCTAACATGAAAATCCTGGTTATTATTGTTGTTATTTAGAAGATCGTAAATAATTTATTTTTTATTCAATGGGGACGGGCATGTTAGTATTTATTTTTTCATATGATCACCTTCATTACAAATTAATGAATTTTTCATATTGGCGACGACCAAGTTTAAGCGTGGCAACCTTTTCAATTCCTGTTTCGATTTCATTTTCTTCTTACCGTCGTCATCATTATTAAAAGGAATTTGTATCGATCATCATGTCAATTTCTTTATGACCCAAATTTATCTTCTAATAAGATTTTATAAGCTACTCCTTCGTCAATAATGATTTATTATTTTAGTTATATATAGCTCGTTAAATATTTAAGTCCTCTTAGGTAGAAATGATTCAAACCATATTTATTGCAGAGCTCTGACTCAAGCAAGCAATAGGAAATTAATGCTTGATTCGTAATTGTCACCTTGTTTCGACCTTTAATCATGATTATGATAACTTTATTGATCATTTTCTTATATTAACTCCAAAAAATTCCTTTCTCGATATTTTTGAATATATTTCTACAATGTCCGGACTTTATTATTTAAAACAATAAATTTAAAAGTCATCAGAGATACTTTTCAGAAGCACAATTAATACACTTTAACAACTTACAATTTAATCGATGTGTTGCAAAATCGCAACGTTTACTTCATTCGACTTTCAACTTCTATTATCTTCTTATTAACCTCATAAGCATGGTGAAAAAAAAGAGATTTTACGTGAGGATTTAGAGAACTTTGAAACCACAGATGGAAGGTATGCCTTTAGAATCACATTTTGACAATTACATTGGTTTTTTGTGATTTTTATATATTATCTTCGAGCAACCCGGTAAGTTTTAACAAGTCAGCACGAACGTAATTCAACTTATTTGACATCTATATTTACTCGTTTTGTTTTGTATACTTACATAATATAACATCTTCATATTTCGCTCGACTTTACAGGAAGATGGGAAAAAGACATAAAATGGATCTGGGTGATGGTACTCTTCGATCACTTCCAGGAACCAAGGATGAAACACTCGACTTTAAGCAAGCTTGTTTGAATATATAAATATTTTCGAGAGTTAAAAATCCCTCTTCATTATTACTGTTAATTCATGAAAATCGATGATGTATAAAACTACCAAGACCACGATCGTCAAATATGATATATATAATTCTTTTTTTTTAAACATAATAATTTAATACCTATTTTAAGTATGCTGGCTGGATCTATAAAATGTTGTGCGTCAGATGTCGATTTACTGACGGTTGAATATGCGTCAGATGATTAATGCTGGCAAAATCTTAAAGCATTATAAAATCTGCACAAAGTAAGCGCATAATTTAGGCCAGTCAGCATTGAAGCCGTGATCCTTGACTGCGTCTTTCCGGTCACGCGATTGGAAATGATTAACAAAATTAGACTGATATATAAACTAGTTATAGTCATTATATTTGTTAGTTATATCTTATTTAGTAGAATTATTATATATTTTTCTTATTTATTTTATTTATCATTTATATTATAATTTGTATATATTTTTTATAGTATTTTATTTTGTATAAATATCTTGTATTTTTCCTTGATTTGAAAGGTAACTTGAGATAGTATTTTAGGATAAATCAAGTGTTTAATAAAAAAAATCTTATCAATTTATTTGCTATTACCTTTTGTCATATCTTCATATAGGTGTAATTGTGATAAAATCTTATATTTAATTCAACGTATTGAGTTAAAAGTAAATCATTTTAGTTTACAGATACCAAGCCAACAGCATCTGATGCAAAATTGCACAACATATAAATATATCAAATTAGAACATTTAATTGCATTACCTCCAGGTCGATGTACCTGAAGTTTTGAATGGCATGAATTTCTCCAATACACTAATAAATTTAATAATTTTTTTTTCTTTAATGAATAATTTTGACATTTATTTCATTACAACAAATTATTAAATCGAATTAGTATTTTCAATTACTTGATTAATATATGTATATTTCAAATTTCTAGATTTGATATAATCGCTTTCACTTTTGTATCTAATTAAGTTGTGGAAATATCATTAAAAATTAAAGAGTTAGCTTTTAATTCCACACTTTAATCAAAATAAAAATCTTAGGATTAAATTTAACAAAAAAAAAGTATTAATTGAAACTTTTCAAAATAAAGATAGCATATTTTAATTTTATTGAAAAATTTAGAGTTACTCAAGCCTAAGAACTGTAAGAAGAAAATTCCTCCAAACTTAAAATAGCATGCTACCAATTGATCATTTGTTTAACCTTCTTTTGACGGCTGTGCCTCAAATAGAAATTAGAACTGGTTTAAGTGTTTAAGATGTCCAGTTTTTACATAGTTAATGAATTATCCATGTTACATTGGGGTGCTAATTAAATCAAATATATATGTTGTGCTTCAGATCGATTCTTGCCTCAGATTATAACTGACGCATCTCAGATTACAATCGTCAGGTGAGGTGTGTGATTTCCGCAGCTGTAATCTGAGTCAATCTAGTCAATTATAGTAAATGTGCATTTTTTTTAAATAAAATAAAAAAAAATATGTTTAAAATTGAATATCGCGTTATAGTTTTTTAAAGCACATGTTTTTTAGAATATCATGTTATACATCTCATAATGGAATATACTTTTATTAGCAAAGATACTTTAAATGGAATAATTGAGCGTTATATAATAAGCCTTCCAGTTTTCTAAACAAGAAAAGGCTTTAATTAATCTTGAACTTTTGGATAAAATTAAAAATGTGTTATTAAACCCAAAAGATCATACTATTTGCAATAAAAATACACAAAATTGGATTAAGAAAAGTTCAGACTTGAGGAAATAACGCCTGATGACTATAGAGTTATTGTAAAAGCATATAATAATCCAAATATTAGTAGTTGAAAATATGTACGAAGTTTTATGCCAAACTCATGCTGAAGTTACATAACATGGAGGACAAAAACAAACTTGGAAATCAATTATAGAAAAATGGGGTTGGATAAAGCAAAATATTGTCAAAAAATTTGTTAATAATTATGCAATATGTGCGATACGAAAACCATCATTTCATCCCTTAGCTGCAAAACCTATTATTGCAGGCGATTTTTTATCTCGTATTCAAGTAAATATCAATTTATTACTTTTTATAATAATTATCATTTGTTCTTTTAGAATATTTAATTTTATATTATTTTTTTAATTTATTAATTTATTTATTTTTTTTAGATTGATCTTATTGATTTATCGTATGATGTTGATGGGGAATTTAAATATATATGTTATGTACGAGATCATTTTACAAGATTTTCATGGACTAAGGCACTCACTTCAAAAAGAGCAGTTGAAGTTGCTACATATCTTTTCAATCTTTTTCATTTTATAGGATCTTCTCCTACTATATTACAATTAAACAATGGTAAGGAATTCTGTGCAGAAGTAATTAAGGAATTAATTGAATTATGGCCATCAGTAAAGATTATAAATGGACGTCCTCGACATCCACAATCTCAAGGTCTAGTTGAACGCGCTAATGGAATTTTACAACAAAAATTGGGAAAGTGGAAAGAGGATACTGGACGAAATGATTGGTCTTTTGGTCTTAGATTTATTATTTTGGCTATGAATAATTCATGGTGTCGATCTCATAAAAAAACTCCATATGAACTTTTTTATAGATCTAAACCACGTGGTAATTGTACATTAGTTGATAATTTATTTGAAAATAGTATTCACGATGAAGAAAATATTCCAGATACTATACAAATATTTGATAATTATATTGAAAATTTAGATGATGATATAGTATTTGGACAAGGTTAGATTTTATTTATTATCTATTATTATTGAATAAGGCAAAAATATTTTAAAATTAACAATTTTAATTTAATTTATTTTTTTTCGATTTTTAGTATCATTAGCACCATTAGCATCATCAGTACCAGCGGTACTGTCAGCACCATTAGCACCGTTAGCATCATCAGAATAGTCAATATCATTAACATCATTAGCACCATTAGCACCGATAGCATCATCAGTGCCATCAGTACCATTAGTACCATCAGTACAACCAGTACAGTCAGTACCATTAGCACCATCGGCACAACTAGCACAATCAGTACCAGTAGTATCATCAGTACCATTAGTACCATCAGCACAATCAGTATTAGCGGTACCAGTTGTAACATCAACAGGTATTTATACATACTTTATTTTTATTTATTGTTATACTTAAATTTTATTATTTTATTTACTATTAGTATTACAAACATTGGATATTATAATTAAACAAAGTATACTTTTTTTATTAACTAATTATTTAATTATAGATTTTTAATATGTTATTGATCCTATTCTTCTTGATATTACAAATGAAATTATAAGACCAGCTACAATTACAGGACATAAAATTTTAAGAAGAACTGCTTGTCAAAATCTTGAGGATTATAGAAATAAAATGATAAACTAAATGAATAAAAAGAAAAAATGAATTATAGAATATCAGGTTAGAGATCTTGTAAAAGTAACTATTCCTAAAATTGATAGATTTGGTACTAATCATCCTATTATTCTATGTAAAATTATGAAAAAAATTGAAGATAAATATTAAGTTGGATTAAAGTTTGGAATAATTGAAGTCTTTATTCTGCTGGTAAATTAAAATCACTTAGAACAACATTTTTTTCTGAACTAGAAAATATTCCTTCTGATAAAATATCAATAAAAGAAGCTTCACAATTTCAAAGTGTTAGATTAATATCAGGAGGCTTATGTAACTGTAAAAGTGATTATAATAATAACAAATATCATTGCAAAAAATTAGGTGAAAAATGTGAGAGTAGATGTCAGAGCAGGTATTCATGTCATAACAAAAATCTTAATTAAATGGTTGCTTTATTTTTAGACTGAAAAATAATTAAAAATTGTATAATTGTATACTATTTTATATTTAGGTAAATTTTAATTTACAAAGAGTTAAGGCTTAATATAAAAACAATTGAATAAAATAGAAAATTTATAATGCTTTTTTATGTTTTTTTTTTAAAAAATAATTATAATTTTGTTTTTAAAAAATAAAAACGAAAGTTTTTTAAAAAAAAATTTTTAATATTTTATTTTTGTAAAAATAAACTTTTTTTATGATTGATTAAATACGTATTTACTATAATTGACTAGATTGCCTCAGATTACAGTTGTGTTATCTCAGATAATCATTAATTTAAATTACTCACTTCACTTGACGATTGTAATCTGAGATATGTCAGTTATAATCTAAGACAAGAATTGATCTGAGGCACAACATATATATATTGTGAAATAAATTAAAAAAAAAATAAAATAAAAAATAAAAAAAAGTGAAAAAACTATAGAAAAAGAAAAAAATAAAAAAATAATAAAAATAATAAATAAAAAAAAAGATTAGAAAAGAATAAAAAATATAAAAAAATAAAATTAAAAAAAAATGGGAAGAGAGAAAGGAAAAGGAAGAAAGAGAAAGAAAAAAAAAAATATTAATAAAAGAAGCAATAAAACTTTATAATATATTATCTAAATCATTTTAATTAGTGTTTTATTATAATGAAGTATTCGTTATAGTTAATAAATTTTTTTATAATGAAAATCTGATTAATCTAAATATCAAATTCATTATATTAAGTTTGGCATATTTAAAATTTTATTTTTATTTTAAAATATTTTTTATATTCTTATAAATAGTACAGTTATTACTGGTTATATTAAACCTATTTATATTGAAAATTTATTATATCAAACTAAAATCTTTAAAACAAATTTTTTATAATTAATTATATTGAATATAACGAACTTCTATAATAAAATATTATATACTATATCTAAACTCAATTTAACCAATTTACTTATATAAATCATATATTTTATATACTGAACAGTTATGTGACCAAAGGTAATTCAGGTTAGATTTATAATACTGATCAGAATTATTATTTGATATTAAACAAAAATGGTTAAAACAATTTTATATAAGTAAAATAGTTAGTTCTATTCCCAATATAATAATTTTATAAAGAATTCTAATTATTTAAATATCATAAAGAAAATTTTAAAAAAAGTAAATTTATATTTATATTATATCAAAATAGTAATATTTTTTATATATCATTTATTTAAAAAAAAAAGATTTTAAATTTAAAATCAATTTATCTAAAAAAAAAATATTTTAGAATCTAGAAATTAAAGGATATTTACTTATTTATAAATATGAATATTTATATTATAATTAAAAAAAAAAAAGTTTTTTCTAATAAAATAAATTATTTTAATTATAAATAATTTATTTAAGATATGGTTAAATAATAATTAATATTAAAGAAAAGTCGATAATATAAGTATTTTACAGTAAAAAAAAATTATAAAAAAAAATTTAAATTTTTTATTTAATGTTATAATTATTATTGAGTAAATTTAACATTACCAAAAAATTTTTTTGAATTATAAAATGCTCATATGGAGAACCTTTGCAATAAAAAGGAGGGAATCTGTCGAAAAAAAAAAATCAAGTTTACTTTATAATTTTAGGTTAAAATATTTAGAATTAAATATTAACTCTATTTTTTCAGCAATTCTCCCATTTTTATTGCCAAAGGTCCCATATGTTACAATTTGTAAAATTAAAAGTTTATATATATGTACTTATTTTTATGCATTTTGAATTTTAAATATCTGATATAGAAAAGTTAATAAAAAAAAAATAAGATTTCCTAAATTATAATAAATAAAATTTTATCGTACATAATTTATACATGTATAATCTGCAACATTTGTAGGAAAATAATTATACTATTAATATTTAAAATCGTCTACATTTAGAATTATATTTCTGCCCTTAAAATCACTCTCTTCTTTTGAGATTTAGATGAACTACCAGGTTTATCACGTATTTGTTCTAATAATTTCGCAATAAATATCTCTGATGTTCTTTTCAATCCAAACGTGGTAGCACCTCTCCGTGGTCTAAACTTCGCTTCTAGATCTATTATTTTAAGTCGTATAAAAACAATTAATTTACGTAACAAAAATGAATGAGTTAAATGAAAATAGACAACCTTTTAATATTCGCTTAACTTCATGGCGTAAATTTATAAATACATTATAAATAAGGATTAAAATTGGTAAAATCTTCTTCGCTTCTTCGGATAACGTCTTTCCACTTGTTTGCAAAGATTTTTCTTTTATTCTTTCTATTATACAATCTTTTGCAAGCTTATATCTAATAAAATATAATATATTAAAAAAAGAACGTTTTGTTAAGAATACTATAAATTATGAAACTTACGTTTGTTCCATGGGCCAAACTTTACAAAGTTGACTACCCAAAAATAATCCGAACAACTGCCTTTTTGGATCAGATTTATCGTTAATTAATTCAGGCGCAAAAGTTATACACATATCTAATTATTTTATATTTAAGAAATACATGTATAAATATGAATTTAATATAAATTTTATAACCACCCAAATAAGTACTTACGCATTGACTCGATTCTCCGCGTTGTCAAAGGTATTAATTCAATAGAATAACCTTCAAAATGTAATTCCCTACATAATATTGTGTTTTCAATGAACAATTCGTGAAGAAAACTAAACGTTTCGCTTCTAATTTCCTCCAATATCCCTAATAAAGAACAATAATCAATCAGTTTATAATTCATGAATTAAAAATTCTTGGTTAATTGTAATATACCAGGATTATCGTCCGGTTTAGATTCACAAATTTCAAGTAATATTTTCATCAATGAAATTTCTTGAACTAATATCAATTTATCCATCTTTTCAAACGTAAAACGATCCTAATAGGTAATATATGTAGTGTTTTCAAAAACAACAAGTGAAAAATTTCGAAACTTGTAAGAAATTACCTTCAAATATTCATTTTCATCTTGTTGAAGTCGACTTAATCTAAATCGGGAACCTCTCATATAAAATTTCAAAACCTAAAAAAGAAATTAATTAATAATAGATTTTAATAACCTATTAAGATAAATACATATAAAATATTCTAAATACCTTTAAAAAGATTTTAAAAATTGGAGGACATCTAAACACTTGGGGGTCACAACGCATAACTAGCAATGGATCCATCATAAGTTGCAACTCCGTAAATCTATATAACGAAAATAAAATGGAATTTATATTCAAATGCTTTAAAATAGCAATATAAATAGCAAGTAGAATTCACAAATAATAAACCTTATTTTCTGATCTTGCTGTCCTCGAGTTGCATTTATGAACAATAAAGATGCTTCATGAGGATTCATACTATAGAGTGACAACCAGATACGATATACCGATTGTATGATTCTGAGATCCTTGCTATACACGAGTTAAATTCATTAGATAAAGTAAAAAAGATCTAAAAAAAATTTTCAGGAGCCAGATACAAACAGATAAAGTATTCTCGGTAATAAAGATAGCATAAGTGGATTACAACGAGTTGACAAATCCCCCGGATCCATAGATTCCAAAGTTTTCAAGGCTACATTATTGAATCAAAATTTAGTGTATATAATAAACTAATAGTTTCATATATTTTGAGAAATTACCATTTAAAGCCTCTACTGGATTTTCTTCAAAATTTGAAATGGATATTTGAATAAAATTTTTGACAACCAACTGATTTTGCCTCAAAGTCCTATTAAACATAAACCATTTAAATCAAAATCTGTACTTTGCTTAAACGGATTTATATAAAGAATAAACCATTACTTTGGAAGACGATCTTCTTCAGCCAAGAGATTTTCTATATCAAAAATTTCGGGATAACTTGAAGCAATGAGTCCAAGAAGCTCAGGATAAACATTACGATATGCCAAGCCATTGTCACATTTTTCCGCTTCAATTAGTATTCTTCGAACGGGGATTGATTCCATGAGACTCGAAGAATAAGGTAAATTGGAATAGTAAACTAATCAAATTCAAATATACAGTCAATAATGAATTTAGCTCATATTTCAAAACATATATGATTTTATGACATACTAGTTTTTTGTAATGATGCTTGACCTCCAACTGACTTCCGTTCTCTCGCAATTATATTAAACTGAAGTACATAATAAAACAAAAGAATATGTGCTGGAGTAATTTTTTCAATTCTCTCTCGAAAAAACGTGAATATATGAAATTCCGGTATTTTGCTCATTGGTGTTGGATAAACGATACCGTGAATATCAAAGATGCTAAACAATGTTTAACTATAATTTAAATATCTCAAAAGAATCACTTCTATAATAATTTATAAAATAAATAAAAAGTTTTACCTAGAAGCATATGTCTTAATTAAAGGGCATAACTGAGAATGGATTGGTAACGTTGCTTGTATCATTTGTCGCATGATCCAAGGCTTAATATCTACCTTGCCTTTATGAAATACTCCACCCTTTAACATCACGTAAACTACATTAAAAGCAATATCTCTAGGATCTTTTGCCAACTATTTTAACCGAAAGAATGTATCAAAAATTGGATCAAAACTTCGATAAAACGATTATAGTGTTATAAACATACTCCTAATCCGTCAAAAGTGTCTGGTTCTATTTCCAAAGCACTTCTGGCCAAAGTAACTTCAGAGAAAAGAACGTCCTTCGTTGCGTTTCTTAATTCAACTAAACCGTAACCAGCTAAACGAATTAATAGCTGATTAATAATTAATGAAAGAGTAAATACCAAATAAACATTCATAAATAATTTAGAGAATATAAATACATATTTCAATATCCATAGCCAGGGTTGAAATACACATTTTTGATATTTGATCGAGTTGACTTGTACGGAAAAAGTAAGCAAATATCAAAAACAACTGCTTATTATTATTAACTATTTTTGCAAACGAATTTACAAGTAATAACTAAGATAAATAGACAAATAATTTTGGTAAATGTATCAATTAGAAATATTAAAACTAAATATGATAGACTTTACCCTGTTCGTTTTAATTAACATCTCAGAACAAAGTAACAAGAAGCATAAACATAATTTTTTGAGCCTGTAGAATGATAGGAGAATCAAATGTTACTAATAAAACTAATAATGGTTTTGATAAATGAAATCTATACCTGTCTGATCCGGCATGTTCTATAACTGTTAAGCAAACTTCTAACTCGTTTGGATCAAAATTTACTTTAAATAAATGTACAAAACCACAAATAATCCGCATTAATATACATAGCCTTGCTCGATGATGAGTTAATGGTTGTTGTACCTTATTCTGGAATTAGATAATATAATGTTTAATTTTAAAATAGAAATTATTAAATTCGTTCTATAATTTATGAATTAAACATTACCACACAATTGCGCAAAGTTATAAATAAGCTACTTTTTAGGTCATTGATTAGACCCTGTGGAACTTGTTGTGACGTTATCCATTTAGGATTTCGCGACAAAATTCCTTCAAGACATAATACCTAATAATAAAATGATATAAATTTTGAATTTTTAAAATAATCCATACAAAAAATAGATACATACAACATCTGAACAGAGAACAGTAAGTCGCAGCACAACTTCCGGTAATATCTTTAAATCAATCAGCTTAAGCCGCATGTTAAAGGCGTGATGTGTTGCGAGACTAACCATAGTATACAGCATTTTTCTTTTTAAAGAAATTAATATATAATTATCAACTGATATAAACAAATATAAAATCCCAATAATAATAATGAAACAAACTTGATGCGATCTTTAAATTTATGAGGATAATATTTGTGAACCTCTAGGATAATATCCGTGACCTAAAGGAATATCAAATCATATTAACAATAAAAAACTTATTATAGAAATTTCTACATAACATATTATTATACCTTATGAAACATTTGTGGATTATTAGCGACTAAACATCTGATTAAATCACCACAATTACTTAAGAGCGGCAAAGCACGGATTACATCCTATTCAAAAGACCCGAATTATTAAAGAAAGGTCTATAATAACTAATTAGAATATAATTATTTACCTCATAATTGATATCCAATTCGATAGGTTTCCAAATATACAATATTATAGGCAAATAAAAATCGATATTTTTGACCGATTCTTTCTTGAGGTTTTGTAATAATCTATTTGCATGCAAGATGTCAATGCATTTTTGAACACTCGTGGGGCCTTGTTCATACTTTGCTTTTGCAATAATTACAAGATTATATAAATCTCGTAACACAAGTCTAGGGTTTATAATAATTTAAATAATTTATTATTAGGATACAAAGAATAACGTAATTATGTTTCAAATGGAAGAAAATTAACACGGCATGCCTTATAATTGTTTCATGATCATTTGAAAATGGAGTATGAGTTTGACTTTGTGGTATTATTTTGCCCTATAATAAAAAAAAAAAAATGTATATTAAACGCGTAATTAATAAATCAACAAATGGGAGGTTTGCTATTAAAATCGAGTTACGAACATAGTAAATCATATGATCCGTAACGTGATTTTAATAGCTTACCTCCCAAATACTAAAGATATTTTCTTTATACCTCCGATATAACATCCAATAACGTTAAGTTTTGTCTTACTTGTCTTTCTACATCACTGATAATATTATTTCTATTTAATTCTAAAATACTTTTTACTAAATCAACCTAGAAATTTGTAATATTCATAAAGATATTATAAAACGAAAAATAATAAACAATAATAAATTACTTGTATGGAAATTGTTACCTGAAGAAAACTCGCTTTTAAAAAAGATACGTCATTAGGCTTGTAATATTTCAATATGTAAGGTAAGAAAAGATCGTATCTATGCCTTGAATTTGGTATTACACATCCTCCGTTTTCAAGGTATTTGAAGGTTTCGACAATTGCCGGATCAGCAATAATAGACATTGTTCGAAAAAGTCGAGAAAAATCAACAAATTTTATTTATTTTAGATTTTGTCGTACAAACGTTTATCAAAAATTACGTAATCTAGCATTTGTTTTTTGTGTGCCAGGTCTGTGGCGCGGCTTGTGGCACATGCGCCACAAACTTTATTTTGGCCGGAATTAGACTTAAGTTGCTAGAAGAATTATGCGAATAATTTAAAAATAAAATTAAAATAAAATTTTAAGGGCATAATTAAACGAAATTTAAGAACGAATTATTTAAAAATACAATAAAATTTTAAGAACGAATTATTTAAAAATGTCATATATGTGAAATTAAATAAATAATAAACATAAATATGGACAAAAAAAAATAAATATAATGTAAAATGAAAATTTTATTTAATAAAGCACAATTTCAAAATTTCCTAAAATACATGAATAAAATGAATTTAATTCAACCAGTTTCTACTAATATTTTGCTTAAGTTGTGTTCTTTTTTACCGGGTTTTCTTTTTTTTGACTTGAAATTGTTTGAGAATCTGAATTTCTTTTCCTCTGCTTCCATTTATCTTAAAAGGAAGTTTTCGTTTAGTATCATTTGATCCTTCTAATTTGCATTACTTTACAGACTCCACTTGAATACAAATCATTGCATTACTTTTGACATGTGTTGCATCTACATTACGGTTAATACTGTAAAGAAATGATGATAATTGGAAAATTGAGATCAATTTTGCCACAAAATATCTCTCAACAAATTTGTTTAATACAGTATGAAACTGCAGTCCACAGTTTTGATAATCTTCTTTAACAGCTTTTAGAAAAGAAATAAGGATGGTAGAATTATTAATATTCTTGTTTTCTTTATCTAATTCTCTAAAAAAATAATTCAAAGTTATCAGTCACATTTGATCAGATATATATTGCTAAAAGTTTAACACCTACCTCTATTTGGTAACTAAACAATTTTCTAACCTTTTATTAGAAAATTTTGTTCACAAAATTTGATCTTGTGAAGAGAGACCTGTATGTAGTGAAGCATAAAAAGAACTATTCTGTAAAATATGACCTAAATAAATAAAATTAGTCAAATAATAGTATAGCAAAGTTGAGGGTAGCGAACTCTATTTACAAGTGCAACATATGTAAAGATCATTCGATCATTTAAAGTTAATGATGGTATAAAATTTAAGCTTGTGACGTGAAATCTCATAGAAATAACTTCTTGGTATTTACATAGTACACCTGTCATTCTAACAGAATAGCTATAGGAATCAATAGCACTATTAAAAATATAAAAGAGACTGAAATCTTTTGTATTCAAAACTAAATATTCATACTCAATTGCTATTTATTGAATAGCATTTTTGTTTATTATCTTCTAACCTATCTAAATAGAATCAGCCATAATCTAGCTATCTGCAATTAACTTTACTAATTATAAGTTTCTCTTAACTTATATAGAGCTAAAATTTAGAATTATAGAATCTAATATTCTATATAAATAATCAAATTTTAAATAGTCTTTCAATTTTAAATCATGAGATTAAATTTCAAAATAATATCTTGAATATATGCTAATCTGATTTCTTAAATTCATCTTTTTTTTCAAAAATTTTTAAATCTTCAAATAATATTTTTAAGTAAAATGTTATCTAAACTATCATAATAGCAAATATAATATAATTATGCATTTTGCAATTATAATTTCAGTGAATAATCTTTTATAATAAATTAAACGTAATTATCTACCTTAAAATATTAATTCTTAATACACAAATAGTTATGATTACAATTCTAGTCTAAAATCTAACACAATTTAATAGTTTGTAATTTATTAATTGTTTAACTCTAAAATTTATGATCAAACATGACAATTACGAGTTTTTTATCTGAATACATATTATGTATTAGCATTATTTCATTATGAAAAAAAATTTGCTATTAAATTTTATGAAATCACAAATCTTATTTTTTTAATAATAAATATTGATGTAAAGTTAATGAACTGAAATTTGAAGCTACTAT